TAACTTTCAAGTTAGAATACCTGGAAACCCCTCAATTTAGGGGGTGGGGCAGCAATCTTCTGGTATATCATTCTTGAGAGCTTTTCATCTAACCCCAGGAAAAGTCATGCAACATTCAGTTTCCAAATAGGAACAAAGCAGAACCAAAGCCGAGTTTGGAGGAAGTTACACCATTTCTGCTGGTGGTGATAAGATGTGCAGCTGGAAGTAAACCATGGAGGCAATCCCAATATGCCTGCCCTTCTCCCTGCCATATTGGAACGGTATGCCTGCCCTTCTCCCTGCCATATTGGAACGGTATGCCTCTTTGCTACAGTAGGTGTATTGCTCCCACTGTGGGTAAAGGCATGCAGCTGAGATCAACTTGCCTGCCCAGAGGGAAATCCAAGGTAGAAAATCTGAAAGAGAAACCCCAGTGAATCCATCTTCTTATATATCATTTTTCTTTTTTATGAAGATATACTTCCTTGATGAATATGATTTGTCAAATGATATGGGGACATCCTGAAGTATATGCTGCAATCCCTTCTAGTAGCACTGTAGTGGCTAGAATAAGAATGGCCCCCATAGACTCATATATTCAAATGCTTACGGAGTGGGATGATTTGAAACGATTAGGAGCTGTGGCCTTGTTGGACAAAGCGTGTCACTGAGAGTGGGCTTTGAGGTTTCAGCTGCTCAAGCCAGACCCAGTGTCATGACCTCTTCCTGCTGCCTGAGGATCCAGATGTGGGACTCTCAGCTACTTCTCCAGCACCATGTCTGCCTGCATGCTGCCATGCTCCTCACCATGACAATGGACTAAACCTCCAAAACTGTAAGCAAGCCCCAATTAAATGCTTTCCTTTCTAAGAGTTACCATGGTCATCGTGTTTCTTCACAGCGGTAGACACTGACTAGGAAAAGTACATATGGAACAGGATTTAAGGAAATTGTGGCAGAAGCTATATGCCGCTGCTGAGAGTGGTAAGATTGAAGTTCAGCTGACTGCCCAGAAAGAGTGTGCACAGCAGGCAAGAATTACACATAAAAGGCATGCCAGTGGTATTCTGAATGCTATTTTCTGACTTGGTAGGTAAATTGGTTGAAGGAGAGGATAAGACAGCAGTGCTGGCTTGCTATTTCTTCTGTCTGGATGGGGAGTCATATGGAACAGAGTACAAATTAGATTTATGCTCCATAGTCCCTCCTGGGGTACAATAACTAACAACTCAAGAGAACGGTGGAATAATGAAGAGGGGAAAAATACAGTAGAAATAATAGTGAGGGAACCAGGCACAAAAGAGGTGGCATGTGATGCCACAGTCCCTGGCTAGTGAGGGCTGTGCTCACGGGGGGGGGAAGGGGCAGAAAGAAGCTCATCTCAGAAGGGACTTCAGGGTTGGTATGGGACTTCTGTGGCTTCAAGAAGCCTCATTGTGGATCATGGTTATTTTTGAGGTAGGGGAGGGTCTAGGATATCTGAGTGGTTTAACCTAGTATGTAAATTTGGTGCATAATGTGCTAAATCAATCAAAAAGAGAGGAGAAGAGAAGGCAAACAACGGGGCTGGTCTAGGTCACTTGACAGCAAATGTAGCAATATCTGTGTCAAGTCAGGTTCGTAGGGAAATAATTTATAGAATACCAAATGATGAGCTTCTGAGCTCTAGAATGCCTTGATTCCTGCATGACAGTTCACCAAAGGAGTAGGCAACAGGGAGATACCAGTAACTGTAGAAGAAAGATTTTTGTGAAGGAGGAACCATCTTAGCAGCTTCCCTAATGGGGTAGCCACAGTTGTCCTCAGGTGAGGATCATTCAGAGCAACCAGAGGCATCTCCTGAATTGTAAATTACTTGGCCCCCTCTTAACACGCAGCATATTTGGTTTGGGGTAGATGCTGGAGCCAATTGTGTCTTGGTTTCTGGTGGCCCTCCAGGAGCATCAGGGACAAAAAGGCATCAATGGATGGATATGAAAATAGAGCATTGCTGGCAAATGGTTCGAGCTTCCCTAGGAGTGGACAAATGTACACAGTGTACATTCGTCTCTACTATGAGGCTAGAGACTATTAAACCAGCCGGGGGCACTTTCAGCAGTTAGGTGTGGTCAATGAAGAGGAAGTGTCCCATTATAGAGGTGGCCAAGAGTCTATCAGACACAAGGAATCAGGTAGAGTCATGCAGCAGGTGCAAGAGTGAAAAATACGGCTCTGATAGCCCTTAGCCCTAGGATGAACAGAGAAAAGTCACCTGGCTCCCCTGGGGCCATTCAGTCTGGGAATATGCATGTCAACCCCATAGCAGTACCCAAGGATGAGAAGCCAGGGCAGATTACAGAGGACTGTGGATTGTAGAAATTTAAATACAGTAGTGCCTCCAACTCATACCACCATAGCTAATATTTCCCTTTTGTGGGTGCAATTGATACAAGGTTCATTCTTTTTAAATTCTAAAGTAGTCTTTGCCATTCAACATTGAGGGGAGGGGGAAGAATAACTAGAGGGAACAGGATGGTCAAGATGGAGGAAGGACAGAAAAGGAGAACAAGGAAAGAGATATCTTGATTGACGGAGCCATTATGGGGCTAGCAAGAAACCTAGCACTAGAGAAATTTTCAGGAATCCACAAGGATGACCTCAGCTAAGACCCTAAGCAATAGAAGAGAGGGTACCTGAACTGGTCTTGCCCTGTAGTCAGACTGATGACTCTCTTAAATGTCATCATAGAACCTTCATCCAGCAAGTGATGGAAGCAGATGTAGAGAACCACAGCGGAGCCTGGGCTGAGCTCCCAAAGTCCAGTTGAAGAGAGGGAGAAGTGAGAATATGAGCAAAGAGGTCAAGACCATGATGAGGACACCCACTGAAACAGTTTACCTGAGCTAATGGAAGCCTTCCAACTCCAGTCTGACAGCGAGGGAATCAGCATTGGCGCAAACTAGGCCCTCTGAATGTGGGTGACAGATATGTAACTGGGGCAGACTGTGGGGTCACTGGCAATGAGACCCGGATTTATCCCTACTGCTTGTTCTGGGCTTTTTGAACCCATTCTCCCTGTAGGGATACCTTGCTTAGCCTAGATATAGTGGGGAGGGCCTTGGTCCTGTCTCAAAAGCAATGTGCTAGCTAGACTTTGTTGACTTCCCATGAGAAGCCTTACCCTCTCTGAGGAGTGGATGCGGGGAAGGTGGAGGAAGAAGGAGGAGGAGAGGGAGTAGGAAATGGACTTGGCATGTAAAATGAGAAAAGACAGTTTTTAAAATAAAGTTAAAAATAAATGAAAAACAATGGTTAAAGAGTTTGAGTGTAGGTATTCTGCATGGGTAGAAAAAGACATTCCCAGAAAACAATTATTGTGATGGCTTGAATGAGAAATGCCCCCCGCACTGGCTCGGATATTTGAAGCTCAGGGTCCTATTTGGAGAGGCCATGCTTGCAGACTTGCTGGAGGAAGTACATCATTAGAGGTGGGGTTTGAGACTTAATAGCCTTGCCCTGCTCTCGGTTCACTCTCTCTGGCTCATGTTCGCAATTGAGGATGTAATCGCTCAGCTTCCTGCTTCTGTGACCACATTTGCTGCTTGTTGCTTTTGCCTTCCCACCAAAATGGACTCGTATCCCTCTAAAACCCTTTCTTCCTTAAGTTGCTTTGGGTCATAGTAGTTATCACAGCAAAGGAAAAGGAACTAAAGCAAGTTATGGAACAGAAATCCCTATGCTAAATCCCCATAGGCTGATTCTCTAAGAGTTGTCTGAAGCACCCACCCCCTTTGATATAGGTCATTGCCGCTGTTGCTAGCTCCATGCTTGAACTGTACAGTAAGACCCTATTGCTGAATACTCTACATGCTCTAGTTGCAAAATACAGAGACTCAAGCTGGAACTAAAGTAGAGACTTCTCTGCTGAAGCATTCCTGCTGCTGGAAGACCCCATACAGGTAGTTGAAGGATCTCTGACATTCCTGCTTGGATATGGGTCTATATGCCACACTGCAAATACGCTCCCAAAGCTGTGCCTTACTAGGACAACAGTGGAAAAACTGTTATGGGTACAATCAAATGCTTCACAGGAAGGAATCAACATTTGGTGCCGTAACGCAAAAACTTGTGATAAAGAAGGTCATGGGATAGTGGGAAAGATACTGCTGTGGTTAAACGAATAGATTCCTGCCAAACCATTTTCTCAACGTTTAGGTTATACCCATATGTCATTGCTATTTTTGGCCTTAACCAGAGAAACTTTCTTTTTATAGTAGGTAGTGATTCCTGCAGAGATGGAATTGATCAGGCTGCTGAGAATAGACAGTTGCTGTATGGGCATGGGGGCCTAATGCCCATCCGCAAATGGAATAAAATAGCCAGACATATATATATAACCTCCTCTGAGGCTCGAGAAACATGACAGTGCAGGAAGTGGAAAGAATATACAAGACGGAATAAGGGACGGGATATTGTGGAACACTATCCTCTGGACATAGCCATTACAACAATAAAAGAAAGACTGTGGCAACCTGAATGAGACAGTCACATGATCGGACCTGTTAACATTCCCTCATCAAAGGAAGGTGGGGAGGATCATTAAACCTTTACCTGAGATTCCAGCCACTCAGTTCTTCCTGCATCCCCCATCCCAGGTATATGTAATTTTGCATCACATAATCCAGGAGGTTAACTGGAGTGGAGATTCCATCTATGCAGCTTTTGGGACTTTCCTGTGATACAGCTGTCTTAGGTCATTAACTCTCCTAAAAGTAACCTTTAACCCATGTCCCTGTAAGTAGACCCAAGGAATTTATCAGTTCACCAAGTTTGACTTAGATATACTGCTTCTTTGGTCTGTCATTTGGGGTAAATAGACATTTATTCACATCTCCCCAGGAAAACATCACAAGACAAGAGTGTGGAATGAATTCATATTTTAGTAAAAGGGGTATAAATTTTCTGATGTACATGGGTAAATCAGTGTCAATATTGAGGGGAATCAGTTAGAGGGAACATACAAAATTCAACAAGTCGAATTCATGCACCTCTTCATGTGACAAATATTTATTACTACTTGATATGCAATCGTCACTGCTTGAAGCACTAAAGCATTTGTTAACGAACAAAACAGATGAAAAAATCCCCGCCCATAGAAACCACAATGAAGAAATCAGATACAGATAAGTAATGCTGACGGCAAACAGCACGACGAAGGAGGTCTCCTTTCAACCTCACATGGCTGTTAGCAGCTGTAGAACTCACTGGCACCATGCTTCTGTAAGGTCAAGAAAAGAGAAGAAGCTGTCTGTTCTCTCAACTCCCTTGTTTGTTTGGTATGTATGCCCTACCTAGTGTCAGGTCCCATAAAGACAATTTCAAATATCCGACTCCCTTTTAAAAGAAGTATCATTCATTCACTTCACCGGGTCAGGCTCACTCCAGATAATTTCCCAGTGGACATTAACTCTGTGTTAACTAACTGTATCTAAAAGTATCTCTTGAGTGTTCTTTTTTGTCCATGCCTGTTTCTTGATGGGGCAGTCAGGAGGTGGGGGTGGGCTGGGTCATGTCATTTGTCCCACCTAATTCAAAATGGTGCTCATGACAACAGCTTGAAAGCAGTGGTTGGAAGAAGTTTCCCTTCACGTTGGAATCCCATCAGTGAGGGTCTTGTGTCAGGTCATGACTAACCAGGAAGAATCTGCTAGATAGATGGAAGAAGTGTTTTGGTCAGTTGTTCAACACACTAACTACCTCGGCTTGGAGTTCTCCACGTCAAGTCAGAGGACAAGACGCTGAAGGTGCTGAGCTGTTTCTTAAATTAATTTAAAATTTCATACACGCATATAATGAGTTTGAATCGAGTACGCCACCATTCCCTCCCCTCTATTGCCTCCCTGTTATGTTTTAGGTGAATTTGATACAAGCTAAAGTCACTGGGGAGGATGAAACCTCAAGTGAGAAAATGTCCCCGCCAGATTGGCCTGTGGGATAGTACCTGGGTATTTTCTCCATTCTTGATTGATGTGGAAGGACTACACTCACTATGGTATGCGGCACTCCTTGACTGGTCTTCTTCATGCTGTAAGAAATCGGAGTGAGCAAGCCATGAGAAGGAAGCCAGTAATTAGTGTACCTTCAAGGCCTCTGTTTCAGTTCCTGCTTCCAGGTTCCTGTACTCACTTTCTTGGATTATGTAAAATGAACCCTCTGCGACGCAAGTTGCTTTTGATAAGGTGTTTAAGCAAAAGGAACCCTAAGACACGCCTCCATCCCTGTCACCACCACTTCCTCCCAAATTCATGTGCTCTTTTCTTTAATAAGGAGACCTTACATGGCTGGGCTGTGGTGGCACGTACCTTTAATCCCAGTACTCAGGAGGAAAAGGCAGGAAGATCTCTGTAAATTCAAGGCCAGCCTGGTCTACAGAGTGAGTTCCAGGACAGCCAGGGCTACACAGAGAAACCCTGTCTTGAAAAACAAACAAGCAAACAAGAGACCATGAAGTTCACTTAGTGATTCTAATATCTATACGAGTGCAGGATCACCCACTGGAGCATGAATGGCCCCTCTTCAACAAAAGACTCATGGCACATCTCAGTCATAGTGAGATGACGGAATATTGTCTTCGTTTACCCACCTAGAATGATACCAGTTGATCTTTCCATCTACCCTCGGGTCCAGCACTGTCTTCCTTCAGGCTGTGAAGTCTGTGACTGCCCTGGCTGGTTCGTGCATTTTTCACAGACTTAAGAATCACTTGAGAGTTTAATTTTTTTTCTAGGCCCAATCTCCAGAGTTTCTTATTCAACGAGTGGAGGTGACTCCCAAGAAGAAGCCAGTCTCACACTCTCTGGTAATGGCTGCACTACTGACCTGAAGACCACATTTTGAGAATCATAGGTGTAAGTCATTCCTTCGGTCACCCATCCAGCAAGCTCTTATCTGGGAATCTAGACAAAAGTGTGATAGGGCTTAAGAGATGACCAGCAATTAAACACATTTGCTGCTTTTCCGGAGGACCCAAGTTTAGTTTCCAGCACCCACATTGGGCAGCTCACAACCACCTGTAAAACGGGCTCCAGAAAAAAATCTGATGCCCTCTTCCGGCCACCACAGGTATGTGCACATACACACAAAGACACCTACACATAAAAATAAGTAAGAAAATCTTTAGAAGCATGCTAACTTGGCTTCTGTCCTCACTGAGCCAGTTGCCTATGGGAAATCATGAATCCAGCAGCCAAGCAAGCTTACTGTCTTTAGTGTCATCAGGATTGTTGTGGGACAAACACCGGGGACCAGGGAGACCAGGATTGTTGTGGGACAAACACCGGGGACCAGGGAGACCAGAAGAAGCTCCTACCCTGCCAGTCAGAAAGACTTTCTAGAATATCACCCACATGAATTTAGTGACGTGATAAACACCTCTAACACGTTGTTAATAAGGAAAAGGACATGATTAACAGGTATATGTCATGTGGGTCACACAGACACAAGTATAACCTTGTGCTATATGTGTGTGACATGTATAGAGGGCCAAGTCCGGGAATTCTACCAAAATATTAGTAACAGTTCTCTCTATATGCTAAAAATATTCTTAGCTTTGAATAATATCTTTACTTTGTTATATTACTAACCTCCTTACAACGTGGTGGGATATGCACTGGTCCCATTTTTACTGCAGGGAAAAGGACTGTGCGGGGCACAGATGCAAAGGGGTAAACATCACATGGCCTATGTTAGAATTCTGTCTACCACAGACTCCAAGAGCAGATGTCAATAAAGCAGGCAGACATATGAGTCTGGAGTTCAGAACGAAGGTCTGGATGGGACATGCATGTTAGGATAGCATCAACATACAGATGCTACTTAAAGCTATGCGATTGGATGAGGCCTTCAAAGGAAGAATACTGATATTGAAAAGAGTTCTGGGTCCTGAGCCCTGGAGAACGCCTATGTATAAAGTTTGAATAGCTGAAGTAAAAACAACCCTGCGATCAAGAGGGGCCACAGTCGGGGTGCATCTTTAATCCCTGGACCCAGGAGGCAGAGGCAGGCAGATCTCTGAGTTTGAGACCACCCCACAGACAGTGAGATACTTCTATGTCACAGGAGAGGATGATAAAGGTGGCCCTTACAAAAGCTGTTAGGTGCAGTGCTTGCAATAATAGCCTCCAAAGATCGTGTTGAAGAGAGAAAAAGGAAAAGAGGAAAAATTGGAGTTGTCAAATATACACAGGTATTTCAAGGAATTTGGTTAGAGAGTGGAGTCAGGAAATAAGTGCAATTAGTTAAAGGGGAAAGTTAGATCAAAGGACTAATTTTTTTTTTGCAATGGAAGAAATAACATCATGTTTATACGCTAATGAAACTTCTCCAGTAAGAGGGAAATTTTTAAATTTTGTGTTGGTGACAAGGGTAGTGGGGAACTGGAGCAACGATACTGAGTGGAAGGAATGAACAGGACACAGAATACAAGTGCAAGGGCTGTATGGGTAAGATATAGATAGAAACGTGATGGGGGCAGAGTATGTGCAGTAGAGGGCAAAGATGCAGGCAGGTGAGTAAATGTGATTTGAAAGCCTGCAAAACTTGTGTCCTTCTACTCTGTCTTTCAGAGCCAACTGTATTGTCTCCTGTACTGTTCCCTACTGCCCAGAGTGTCAGTACGGGTTTGCTTCAGGTGCTTCCCAAAGTATGCTACTGTAATGCTTTTACCACTGTAGAAAGGATTTTAGCACTTCGTGTTTATTTTATTACCTACCATTAGGAAACATACCCAGTACACCTAGCCAGGATTTTCAGATATAGTCCAAATGTAAATTGTAAATAAATTAAAAGAAAAAATTTAACTAAATTACGAGGCATACTGTAAAGCTTTTAGATTATTTACAACTGACCTTTGAGCAAAACCGATTAAGGCATTGATTCGCTGGAGGCCCTCTAAGAGCAGACACATCTAAGCTAATACATTTAGCTGGCTTTACTCCTGACATTCTGCTGTCAGTTAGGCCCTGGTATCTCAGGACTGGAAGAAGTTCCCTCTCCTGGGTTATGCTGGTCTCTGTTTAGAGATGGAGAACTCACTACCGCTCAAGACAGAGAGAGTTCCTTTCATCCTGACAAGCCTCTAAATAAACTATAGATAACGAATCAGTGTTTTAAGCCACTTAATTTGTGATAATTTATTAAAGTAGCAATGAAAAATTACTGGAGAAACAACAGCCGCTTTGAGCATTAGGCTGGAAAAGACCCTGGGAAAGTCCTCGACTTCTCTCTGGTCTCTGGATTCCTGGAACACAGGAGTGGACGAGATCTAAATCTCTAAGCTACTTTCTATGCTATTCCTATGGCTCTTAGCATGTGTTGTCTGTATTGACGTTAATTGTACTCCCATCTTATGTATGCAACTTCTGGGAGTCAGCACAAAGCCATGCCCAACCAACAGTCAAGAGTCATGATGCTTTGAGATTGTACAACGTGCCGGAGTCCCTGTAAGGTTTTCACATATGACACAAACATCAACATCAATCGGAAATACGACAGCAAGAGTCCTAAGAGGTGTCACGGGCTAGAAAAAGGAGGACTCTAAAAGAGGCTGTAAATGTGACAAGCTGAAAGAGAACGAGAGGCAAAGACTCCCCGGGGAAGGAAGTGAACTTTCATCTCTAGCCAAGAAGAAACAAATGCTGCAGACTCATTTTGACTCTTAACCTTAATAGCAAGTCAAGAAGCCCATGCAGCACAGAGAGAAGTCACAAATCATTATGTGACCCATGAAAGGAGAAGAGGTCGCTTCGCCTCTGAAGCTCTCACGTAGCTTTCTGACCTCCATTCGGATCTCAGGCAGTGTACTGGCAGCAGTGGAAAATGGATGTTACGTACTTCCCTCGTGGTTTCACGGTTCCTGTATCAAGCAGCTGCCTAAACCCCGGGGAGGAGAAAAAGCTGTGTAACATACTTGGGGTTTTGAAGGGAGCCAGACCCAGGCAATCTAGACAGAACCTAGACAGATGAATCATCTTCTCAAGTTCAAAGGTTAGCTAGTGGGAGAGATGAGGCTTATCTAGAGGGACAGACAAGGTGATGGGGTACATATTTATTAAGCTGGCCGGTAATTCTGCAACTCCAGGTGCTCATATGCCTTGATATTTTACACTTTGTAAAAGTGTTGCAAGCTAACCTATTACACTACAGGCCCTCCATTGTTTTATACTGTCTAAGACAATTGCAGAAAGTGTGGCTACTCTGAGAAGTCACTGGGTCAGCCCGTGTTTTTAAAAGAAACTCCCATACTTAACAATAATAAACTAAACATTTCAAAAAGTTAGAAGACAGGATTTGTACATTTTACCATAAAGAAATTGTACATGTTTGAAGAGATAAGTATAGCTGCCATGATTCCAAATTTGTACAGTGTATACGTGTCAAAACATCACAGTTTACCCCCATTTATATGTGCATTCCTTACGCTCTTTCCATTTAGTTCTTACTTACAAAGGCTTTCATACACAGGTACTGTGTTTACACTATTTCCAACCTCTCACCTCCAATCCCTCCACTCTCACTCACATTCATGACCTCACCTTTGTGTTCTTATGCCATTAATTAAAAATAAATACAATTTAAAATACCTGGGCAGGGAATGTAGCTCAGTGGCAGAGTTATTGCCAAACATTCTCAAAGTTTTGAGTTTGATTCCCTAGCACTGCAAAATCAAACAAAATGAAAAACTAAAGCATTCAGTTAGACAAGGCATATAGAGTAAAAACATCCTAAAATCAAATATTTGGTGAAAGGATTATATTAAGATTATAAAAATATTTCACACACATTTTGTATACACACACACACACACACACACATATATATATATATATATATGCATAGATCCTAAATTACAAATTATATAATATGATTAAAAGACAATCCATATATTTTACTATGGGGAGATTTGAATGGAAACTTCATAGCTATTCAAAAACCATACAGATTTTTATCAGACAACAAGACAGCAAGACGAAATTGAAAAGAAAACCTAGGGCTGGTGAGACGGCTCAGAAAGTGAAGATGCTCGCCATCAAGCCTGATCAT